AAAAAACATGAAATGATTGTACATATTTAAATTTTAAAATATAAAGTACATATGTTATTCAATCAATATATGTATGTATGTATTATTTTGAAAAATTGTACTATGTACCAATACTATGTTTTCGCCACKTACGGTTTTTTGTGAAAAAAATACGAGTTATCAAAGGGACCGAAATACATGCATTTTTCGCGAATTTTTCTAGGGACCGAAGAAATATCAAGATTTTTCGCGTATCGAGGTTACGACTTATCGAAGTTTCACTGTACTTGTTGTTTTTTTCTTTTTTTTTTTGATTTCGTTATCTACAAGGCTTCCTCAGGAATCAGTTGAAGATGTGCTCCTAAATTTCATTGAAAACGTTCGCTCAATAAATATAATAATATCCTAAAMCTCATATGGATTTAATATTGTAGTATCATTTATGTATCAGCCTACCGTTATTTCAACCAAACTAAGTGGGAAATTGTCTTTATGCAGAGTAAATCGGAGAGTAACCACGCCCACCTCCCATACAAAGGTTATGTTTAAAACTAGATATGTATAGTGCATTAATATAAAGTTTTGAACATGTTGTTAAAGTATTTTATAATTTTTGAATAGTTCGATTTCGTCCATCTGCATATCTAGTATTATTGTAAATTATACTTATACGTACTATGTAAAATTTTACTCAAATTATTGCTTGCACGGACAGACGAGACATCCGAAATTCAACACTAATATTTTTTCAGTAGAGTAGTAGTCACTTTATATATATCCCGCTTAGTTTTARGTGCTACAACAAATGTAATAAATATGCTGAAAAAACTAGTATAATCCACGCAACATGTTGCAAGAGTATAAAWGTAAAATTAATCAATATTTCGAATACTAAAAGAGTTTTTGCATTTAGTTGTATATTCGAAAGGCTAGATGACGCTGCAAGAAGACATAACATTRTGTGCAAACCACAGAAAATGAAAGCTAGATGGCGCCACAGTCAATGACAGTGAAAATCTAACAATSAATAACATCATTGGCAGAGCAGAGGCAACAAAAAGAACAGATAGAAATGTTAATGAATTGAGATGGCGCAAATGTTATTTGCAGAGATTGTAAATCCAGAGAACATATGTACATATGTAAAAGGAGGCAGCTTGTGGGCAACAGGCATATGCGGGATAACGAGGAGTTCTTTTGAGCCAAAACTTATCGCGAGAGATATAGTGAGCTCTTCGCCCTCAATAAGACCAACTTTTCCTTAGTTGTAGGAATTCTAACTGGTCATGCTTTCGCTATCGGTGTCCACGACGTAAAGTTGAAAATCTTTTTTATAAACTGTTTGGAAAAAGACACTTTTTTGTCGCATCTTTCTGAGCTCACGCTTTTAAATAGCTCGRTGAACCTGTGGCAGGATAAGTAAAACACCCAATCATATTTATATTGACCATAACGGCTTTAATGGTGAATATACTGARTAATATAATAATATTGTCAATTCCACTCCTCAACTATTCATGAAATATGTATCTTCCAACGACAGCCATCCTGTAATAGAAATTTCTTAAACCGACGTAATCTATATTGCTATAATGCTTGAAGAATTCTACTACCCATGCTTTGTCAATTATCCGGTATCTCCGTCAAGCTCATTTGTATTTTTTACCAAAAAGTCACGAATACAACCCTCACCAGAGAGTGTAAAATATTATTACTTATGTACATGTTCTCTGCCATCCTTTTTCCCGCATGCCACAAGTACAGGCCGCTTAGCGGAAGACGGCACAGGAATAAGAATTGAATATTTTTTTCAGTTTTGTTACTACAAAAGTATGAATATGTGTATCCGATACATTGCCAGTCTCAATATGGTCTACGAGTAAAATTGCTTAATTTAAAACTAATTCAATTTTAGTGAACTAGGCACTAGTTCTAGTTTTCGTAATACTCTTTTGCAAACGAGCAATCGGCGAATGTAACTGACTTAAAAGTATCCACCGAAAGTCCGTTTCTTAAACTCCCAAACGCGTAGAAATAAGTCAAAAATTTGCTTAAATCATRATTAGAAACAATTATGTAATAGAACAGCCCGACGCGATCACTGCTAGATAAAAGCGCCCACTGCATATTTATTATGGTTTTAAGGCAGACAATTTTTTCCTCTTTATATTACTTGTTTGACACTTGAAATACATACTTACGTATGTATATATTTCAATTGCAAATTTTATTCTTCTGACCAGTTTTATCTTCCTTTCGCACGATATAAACATACATATGTATGCATTTATGTATATATTCTTTGTGGTTTCATTGTCAAGTTCTGTTCATATTTGTCGCCTTCAGCCATTGCCTTTGTTTCATATTTTTATCTTCTACATCAAATCATAACCCACTTGACCAGGTTGTCATTGCTATTGGACTCAAGTAGCGAAAATAACGATTTTTAGCCATATTGTGTTGTTGGTTTACAATGCGAAAGAGGCAAGCAAATTTTATTGGTCAAATGCTCACCATTATTTTACAGTTGTTTTCTGTTGTTCACATTCAGTTTCGTTCCGGAAGTCATACATAGTGCAAGCTTCGCTGATTAACACAACTTAATTCGTTAAAAGTAAATAAATACCAATAATAAAATGACTTTGCAGCTACAAATCGAAAAGCTCAAGGGACTCGATAATTATAAAGCTTGGTCAATGACAGTACGAGCCTATTTAGAGTCCGAAGATTTATGGACGGTTGTGGAAAATGGTCCCGAAAATAATGARGAGGTAATCATTAGTAATTTTTGTTGTCTTGGGACATTATTTAAAAATATATGCACTTATTTGTTTCCTCAGTCCCTACTCAAAGACAAACGAGCTAAATTCATCATTTTGTGTTTAATCGAGACAAAGCTTTGCCAATTTATGGTGAGCATCCGTACGGCCCGTGACTTATGGACCTATTTGAGAACACAACACTCTCTGCGTTAAAGCCAAATACRCTGGAACCATAACAAAGATATTTATAATTCAATTATACTTACACTTTCTGTWATAATTCAGAGATATGTGATAGCATTAGTCTATTTATTGTCATAGTTATAAAAWGAGAGTAAAAGCTCTTCTAATTTTGTTAACACAACTACATATACTATATGATATACTGTTATTACAAAAATAATAATAAATCATAATGACAATTAATACGAATAAAGATAGCGAATAAAATATATAAAGTCGAAGTCAAATTTGAACCTTCAGTAATTAAAATTTCCAGAAACTAGAATTAGAGTGTGCAATAATGTTCAGAAATTAGAATTGAATATTCTAACATGTGATTGGAGTACATGTCTATGTTTGGTTATGTTGCATATATATATTTTTTTTTATTTAATGAATATATACATATGTATACGTTTAAGTAAACTAGAACATGTGATATGCATTGTACTGGATTGTTGTCTCTTGTTTTATGGTTTTTATACTCTTGCACAGAGCATAATAGTTTTGTACACCTAAYGGTTGTATGTACGTATGTATCACCTAAAACTAATCGAGGTAGATACAGGGTTATGTATATATAATTGATCAGGATGWAGAGATGGGTTGAAATCCGGATGACTGTCGTCTGTMACTCGAGCTGTAACTCGAGTAAAAACTGAGATATCTTAATGAAAATTGGTGTGCGCGTTCCCTACTAAAAAAAAGTACGAGTTCGTTTATGGGCGTGATCGGGTCACTGCCACGCCCACCCAATGCCATTAATCGAAGCCTACCAACAAAACTCTAATTTTGCAAAGGGGATCGTAGAAGCAAGAAGCTCCTGTGGAGATAAAAATTTTAAAGGGTGGGCGTGACCCGCTCTTTATAATTACATATAAGTTTATTGTACATATCTCTTAAATCACTAAAGCTTCATCAACCAAATTCACCTATCAAAAATATTATAAGAACTCCTACCGACACGCCGTTGGGCATGGCACCATCCACTTCTTGGTAAATCATATTCCTTCTTCAGAGTGCGAAATTTGATTCTTTCATTTTTCCGTATACAATTCAGGAAGCATTTGATATAACAGGATAATCTTCATTTCCTTTAAAGTATACCCCCTTACGACCAAAATTTGTCCAAATCCAACCAAAACTGTTCAATGCAATATTTGGACCCCAGTGTATATATTTGACTTTTGACCGGAAGCATCGG